GCTGTGGAGTCGGTTCCGACTCATAGCAACCCTGTACAGGGTTTCCGAGGCTGTAAATCTTTACGAGAGCAGAAAGCCTCATCTTTCTCTCGCGGAACAGCTGGTAGTTTCGAACTGCTGACCCTGAGGTTAGCCGCCAAATTCGTAACCACTATGCTACCAGAGCTCCTTAGCTGCCAGAATTGTAACAAAATACATTTCTATATTTTAAAGCCACCCACCTGGTATTTCAGTTACAGTGGCACTGAGAAACTAAGACAACCACACTGATCACTTAGAAATACTAAAATACAAAATAAATTAGAGGAAAGGAGTCCGAGTTTTTCCGTTTAGTGAGTACGTGAGCATTAGTGAAAGGCTGAAGTAAAATTTGGCATTCCAGGTTGCAATCAACTTGAGTTAATGCACAACTTCACATTCTAATGACCGAATTTAAAAACCTTCACAAAGTCTCTCCATTATACCCTGCTCCCCTAAAGGCCATGCTCAAATAAGAACTCCTTCAGTAAGCTGTCCAAGAAAATCCAGACAGCCATTCTTCAGCAGTGTTCCTAAAACACCAAACATTAGTCGACCACCAAACATGACTCGCAATTGTTTTATATTTATTACAATTTTCCTTGTCTTGTGATGATTCGCAGACATCACTTCACTCCTACTGAACTGTAAGCTCCTGGAAGAAAGGACTGTGCATTTTTTCATTTCTTTTTTATACATAGCTCCTGATACACCGAAAGTGTGAATAAATTTTAGATGAAGGAGTAGATAATAAAACCAAAAATCCACTGCTATGGAGTCGACTCCCACTCATAGTGACCTTCTACAGAATTCCTGAGATGGTAAATCTTTATGGGACCAGAAAGTCTCAACTTTCTCTTGCAGAGTGGCTGGTGAGTTTTGAACTGCTAACCTTGTGGTTAGCGGTACAGTGCTTATCCTACAGCACCTCCAGGGATCACTAATAATGATCACAGATAAATTTTGTTGACCTACAGTTATGATGTAGGACTATTGCATTAAATTTACTTTTTGAAAGCTATAAACTATCTCCATTTCCAGAGGACTCATCATGTCATGGAAGGGTGAGAGGTGACCTTTGACCAAGAAGAGGGAGGGAAAATGCATGTCCTCTTTATCATTGGTAGACAAAAGAGAGGTTATTCAAATCAAGTTTGAATTGTATGCAGAGCATGTAACTACTGCAAGCTTTAGTTGCGTAATTTCTACAAATTGTGGAAAATATTTGTATCTATCTTACAGGGTTGTTGTGAAGCTTGAACTCATTAAAATATATAACTGTATCTAATGCAATGTACATAATAAATGCTCAATTAATTTTTTTAGTTTAGTTTTTTGTTTTTTTTTTATCTCTTTTGTCGCCCTTGAGAGGCCATAAGGAATAAGGACACTGGAAATTATTCAATGACATTTGATGGAGAATAAGACCAGAACATAAATATAGAGAAAAAAGTAAAGTGTACATCATGGCTGTAGAGGATAAGCACTGGACTGTGAATCACAGGGTCAGTGGTTCAAACCCACCAGCCACTCTATAGGATAACTATGAGGCTTTCTACTTCTGCAAAGATTTATAGTGTCAGAAGCACTGTACAGGGAGGGTCTCTGTGAGGCTGAATGGATTCAGTGGCACTTAACAACCACTGTTTTACAGGTAAGCTTTAAGCATTTGTATAAGATAAATTCTATAATGGGTAACTAAGCATAAAAATTAAAACAGTATTTGGCATCATAAGGTTCACTTTCTGTAGAGTCTTGATACACAGATTTGGATTATTTGTTCCTACAATCATAATTAGTCCATAAATACAACAGACATGATCTACAACTAAAAAGAGGACAAAAATTGTGTTTAGGAAGTTTTTCACATCAACCATTTGTCTTCTTCACAAAAGCACTTAGTTAAAAATAAGTAATTCAGGAAAATGGCCCTCACTTCCTCTACTATGATATTGAGATTTTTTAAAAGTATATTAACTGTATTTAAAAAGTAGGAATTAGAAGTGCACTCTGGCACTTTAAGACATCTGACATTCTGACTGACTCCTGCACTATGGGAAACTGGAATAGAACACAGAACAGCAGACGATCGGCAGTTATGAGTGATGGAGGTCAAGTGGGAAATCAGGAAAAACTGGTAAGTAAATAGCACACTTGAAGAAAGGAAAATGAAATGCTAAGTTGATCTGAAACAGACAAAAAAGGAAAATTGTAAAGAAAACAAAAGTAAGTGAAAAATAACATTTCATTTGAACTCTCTAAAGGCAAATAAATGGTGAGGAGACGGTGAACAAGTAAACAAACAAAAATGAAACATTTCGGAGAATTGCTGACATACGCAGAAACTAAAAGTTAAAAACTTGTTTGTTCAAAAGTTTATTGCTATTAACCAAGACGCACTATTAATTTTCAGGATCCTGAGTAAAGGTTAAATAATCTCATATTAGAATACAGATATCTCCAGTAAAATTTGTAAAAGAAATTATGGAAATTATTATGAAAATGCCAATTTATTAATTTGATAAAAGACAATCTGTAATCACCAATACATAAATGAAATGACCTTTATTGCTACAAGAATTACAAGAACTCTCAGCAAATATACTCCTACATTACTACTAATAATATATACAATATTAAAAATTATACAACAGGTATATATCCTGGTGTGACCCTATGGGTTAATGTGCTGGACTGCAAGGTCACTTAGAACTGCAATGTCGGCAGTTCAAGTTCCACAACCATTCCTTGGAAACCCTATACAGGGTCCCTATGAGTGGATACCAACTTGACAGCACTCAACAATAACAACAACAAGTGCAGTCAAGTCTGTTTGGACTCATAGCAATCATATACAGGGTTTTAAAGAAGCAGTTGGTGGGTTTGAACCACTGAACTTGAAGTTAGCCCAGTGCTTATCCTATATTATCTCACAAGGACTCCAAAGAATATGTATATATATATGAATACGGATTCATATATATATATATATATATATGTATATACAAGGGAGCTTCAGAAAGTTCACGGAAAAATATAATTAAAACATAATGAATTTTCCCACAAAATTTAGAAGTCCTCTTACATATATGAAGGTCAGTCAGAAGGTATTGCTACTAGAGTTCCAGTTCAAACCTGCATGGGTTTATTATGAGCAACACATGTTCAAGCATGTCTTTCTGATCAGTGGCTGACTGCAGACATGTTTTCTCACTAATATCTTATTAGAGTACCTTCAAAAACAGGATGCTTAAATAAAAAGGAGGTTGCGTGAAATCATCTGGCTTAAAGCACTGATCTTTTCTTTAGTCTTTAAGCAAGATCAAAGCTAATGAAGATTTTATGAAATGAATCATACTGAGACAAGTCTTGGCTTTACCAATATAATCCAGAGCAAAGTACAATCCAAAATAGGATCTTCAGAGTGGATCTACTAGGCCAGTTAATTCAAGGTAGAAGGTTATGTCAATATTGTTTGGGATCTCTAAGAGGTAATCTTGATATATATTCTTGAAAGAAATAGGATAATCATGGGGACTTATTAGGAGGATATTTTAAGAAAATTGAAAACTTTGTAAGTAAGAAAACAAGGTCAAGAAAGTTGGTCTAGGACTTTTGTTCCTATCATTACAATGCACTTGCATGTACTGTATGACAATGTAGTAAGGGTTGTCCTATGAGAATTTGCGGGGGAACCTTATCCCATTCACACTACATTCGAGATCTTGGCTCCTTCAGATGTCTTTTTGGTCACAAAAGGCAAAGAGCTTTGAAAGGTAACGCAATTTGAGGCCCTTGAGGATTTCAAAACTGCCATGTTGACATGGTGACATATGAAGAATGTAGAATTCTTTGGGGAAGGATTAGAGATGGAAACTCAGTGTTCAGAAGTGTCCTGATAGAGGATATTCTGAGAAACAACAACATCACACTTGCATATTTTTGTTTAATAAAAGTGTCTATTTATTTGTAGCAACACTTTTTGATCAAGAGATGTATTGCGTTGGACAAATTTGTTCCAAAAGTCCTCTTTAATATGCTTCAAAAAGTGTGGGAAAAATTCATCTTTTATTCCTATTTTCCCCAAAATGTTTCAAAGCCCCTTCATGTATATGTATGTATGCACACACATACACACACACACACACACACACACACACATATATATGTTGTTGTTGTTAAGTGACGTCGAGTTGGTTCCGACCCTGTACAGGGTTTCCAAGGCTGTAAAAAAAAAAAAAAAATATATATATATATAGTTGTTTTTAGCTGCCGTTGAGTCAGTTCCGAGCCATAGCGACCCTGAACAGGGTTTCTGAGGCTGTAAATCTTTATGGGAGCAGAAAGGCTCATTTTCTTTCTCCCACAGAGCAGCTGGTAGTTTCAAACTGATATATATATATATCAAGTCTATTGTTGTTTAGTGCCACCAAGTCGTTTCCAACTAATAGTGACCCTGTATAGGGTTTTCAAGGAGTGTCTGGTGGACTTGAACTACTTACTTTACAGTTCAAACCAACCTTGTGTTCCAGTGCTTATCCTATAGTGCCACATCAGGACTCCCTATATCAAGTCTAGGGACTGAGAAAAATTACTATAAATTATAGAAGGTAACAATAATGTAAACAAAATGGAGGTAATTTACTCTTGAGTAAATATTCTCTTTTCCCCATTCTCAGAATTCTGGAGAATCCCCTTCCTTCCAACCCAGGATGTGATTGCTATGCATTTCCTTGAAAATCTTTTTTTAAAATTTTCTGTAATTTGAGTCTTGTTTTAACATTATGTTTCATTTTAAAGTAGTTGCTAATCAATATACTGGGAAAGGATTTTATAACTCAATGGCATTTGACAAACTGTGACTCAATTTTTCATTTTTTTTTTTGGTCAGGAAAAAATTGATCATCACTGAAGAGGTATTCTAATAATATAAATGTTGTGATTTGCTTAAAACTGGAATCAATGGATAAATAGGACTCATTATGTCCCGCGTAGATCATCATGCCCAAAAGGCCAACAAACGAACTAATCCACTGGAATCCCTTCTAATGCCACAAGTTCCACGAAACAATTACTTGCACTTTCAGAAAGAGAAACAAAGACTACATCTAAAGAAATTTCTTATTGATAGGATATTTCTAGTGGCCAACATTCCAGCAAACACCACAAGAAAAGACATTGCTGAATATTATGAACACACATTTCAATCCATTATGAGACAGCACATAGGAGAAACGGTGACAGGATTACTGCTCATATATCCAACTGTCATTCTTCATATCCTTGAGTCTTCCAGTGGAACTCTCTTCAAAATCCTTTTAGATTATGTTAACCATGAAAAGAATGACAAAGAATTTTTAATTCAAGGAATGAAAATTATAGTCATGTCTCATAATATCCCATCCAGGCTCTTTCTGCAATGGCAGGTGTCCGTAATAAATGTACCAGTTACGTACCTCGACGATGTGACACAGTCACAGACCCTAGAAGAAGTCATCACAGAGTTTCTCATCCAAACCCACAAACTAGGACTCAACCTTTTTAAGGCTGTTAAAGTGGGCACTAAAGGGCCAGGTGATAACTTACAACAAGTTTCACCTGAACTACTACTCCCAGAACAAATAATAAAGTACTTGTGCAAAGCTGAGAGATTCCTGGACCCAGCAACCTTTATAAAAATGTATAGCGGTCCCATACACATCAGTTTGGATTCTGAGGTAGTATGGCCTGCTCCTACCCACTTCTAGGTTTGAAAGAGATGATGTGGTCATCTTTTGAGGAATTTGTTACTTAATAAAAGGAAAAGATAACTAAAGCTATTTTTTCTTTTTCATAAAAGAAGAAAACACAACAATTTGAACAAAGGTAATCTTTATGGAGTATGCTGAAATTTCAAATAAATTGACAAATGTGTTTATTTGTTCTGATAGTCAGTATAATAGAGTCCTGGTGTGGCGCTGTGTGTTAATGCGCCAGACTGCAAAGCCATTTGAACTGCAAGGTTGGTGGTTCAAGCTCACCAACTGCTCCTTGGAAATCCTATACAGGGTCGCTATGGGTCGTAACTGACTCGACAGCACTTCACAAAAACAACAGTCAGTATAACACAAGGAGGCTTCTAAATGCTCATGGAAAAATGTCATTAGGTTCTAATTCTATTTTCCACAAACTGTTTGAAACCACTCCTATGTTATTATAGTAGGAAGTTCACAATCATTTCTGAAGTATGTACATCTTTTTCATGGATTCTCTTTTTTAAAACAAAAAGATAAATATGGGTGACTAATGATAATCACTTGATTCAGATTCTTGTGCATTCTCTCAACAATCCTTGAGCATCCACCACCAGACAGATGAACTACATTCAGTGGTGGGGTACAAAAACTTAGGGAGAGACCCTACCCTTCAGTTGGGTCTATCCTAAGGATAGAAGCAAGTATGTGTAAAAGTAAGGATGGTAAATTATATAAGTAATAATAATTATAATGGCAACAGGTAGGAAATGCTTTGAGAGCAAAATTAACAAAGTAATTTCTGTATAATTCCTACAATCAAAAGACAAAGAAAGCCTAACCTTTGCAAATGGCTCTACTGTTCACATTGGACTGTACAATCAAACATATTGAAGCTATTACAAAGTTAAAGAACACAACACATTACTAAAACCACTGAAAAACACAGAGAGGTTACTGTATACTTTTATGTAAGATCACTTATTGAGTATCCTCTGGTGTGGTCCTGTAGGATAAGCCCTGGATAAGCAAGCTCAGTTTGGACCACAAGGTTAGTGGTTCAAACTCACCAGTTGCTCCTCAGAAACCCTATGAAGGATCGCTATGAGTTGTAACCAACTCAAGGGCACTTGACAACAACAGCAATAAAATAGAGACATGATTTTGGCCCACATGTAAAACTTAATATTACTAAGTGAATCCATGTAAAATGCATTATTTTCTGATTTTACTTTTTATAAAGCAATTACATATAATTTCTATATGACTTATTTCTAGTTGGTCTCACCTTTTCTTTACAAAGATTTAAAACTTATTTTCATTTCAATTTTTTCTAAGTTATTTAATCCATTTATTATTGTAGTGGTTGTATGTCATGGAGTCAGTTCAGACTCATAGCAACCCTGTATAGTGTTTCCAGGAGTTCTGTGTGGTGCTGTAGGTTAATGCATGGAACTGCAAAGTTGGTTTGAGCTGCACGGTCAGTGGTTCAAACTCACCAGCCTGTCCTCAGAAACCCTATATGTGGCCCCTATGGGTAAGAACAAACTCAACGGCACTTAACAACAACAACAACATAGTGCTTCCAAGGCTGTAAATCTTTGTTGTAGCTGTTGTTGTGATGTGCTGTGGAGTTGATTCTGACCCATAGCGACCTGCGGAACAGCTGGTAGTTTCAAACTGTTGATTTTGCAGTTCGCAGCCCGATTCATAACCACTACGTGTAAATCTTTAAAGGAGCAGAAAGCCTCATCTTCCTCCTGCAGAGCAGCTGGTATATTCAAACCACTGCCCTTTAAATAGCAGCCTAACTCATAACCTAGTATGCTACCAAGGCTCCTTCAATTTACTATAATGACGTGGATATTTTGATAACGTCAATGACATTTTATATAAAGTGACCTTAATATTTTAAAGCAAAGAAGTATCCATTTGATGGAAAAATGGTAATATATCATTTTAATTTCATTTTTATTGCCTAATGATTTTCAATCCCTTTAGGGAAAAACAAAAAACTCACTATGTACCCCAAGTTCTTTATAGCCAGATAATTTACCATTAATTCTTCAAATTTCAGAAAAATTTATTCTTATTTTTAAACTTTGCAGTACATTATAGTGCAGAATGTTCTTTTTCACCATTAGTTGAACTTGCAGCTGCATTCATTTCAAATTAATAACAGGAAGATTTTTTTTAGATAAAATGAGAAGGAATTCATCTGTTAAAAAACAAGCATATAATTTTCAAATTGAATGAGTTCATCAAATATTAAAGACCTAATATCAATTGCAAATGTACAGTTTACTCTTAATTCTTGAAGAAGACACAAGATAACCTTACTAGTAAATGAATGATTAAGTGACAAAAATGAGTGGAGGTGAAAGCAAATGTTTCCTAAGGCATAAAGCAATAAATAAAGAATACTTTATAGAAGTAAGCCTTGGTAGACTCTGTGAAAGTTCATGAGGATTGGGATGTGAAAAATTATTTGGGCGTACAGTCTGCATATTTAATAGAACAAGCAGAGACAGGAAGGAAAAAATGAACAAAATGTTCATTGGATCAGATGTTGATACGTACCTTTGAGTCAATTCTGACCCAAAGTAACCCTATCTATATACATTACTGACTACCAGAGCCAATGTCATTGTCACAATTTTTGCTATATTTGAGTCTATCCCATTGTAGCAGCCACAATGACAAACCATATAGTTGAGGACCTTCCTATTTCTCATTCACTCTCTGCTTTAACAGGGCTTGTCCCTCCTGATAACTTAAGTCTCAGCATTCATGTTTCTAAAGAGCATTCTGGTTATACTTCTTCCAAGACAGATTTATCTATTCTTCTGGTGACCCATGGTCTATTCACTATTCTTCTCCAATGCCATAACTCAGTGTATATTTATTCCTTCCTTATTTATTGTCCAGCTTCTACAGACATATGACATGATTGAAAACATGATGCTTTGGGTCAAGCAACCTTTGTCCTCAATGTGACATTTTTTATTTTTAACACATAAAGAGATATTTTGCAGCAAATTTGCTCATTAGAACTGTTACTTGATCTCTTGACTGCTGCTTCCATGAACAATTGTGGATCCAAGTAAACTGAAATCCTTGACAACTTCAATATGTTCTCTTTGATTATAATGTGGCACTGTATGTAGGCTATTGCACTGGACTGCCAAGTCAGTTTGAACCACAAGGTTGCTGGTTCAAGCTCACCAGCTGCTCCTTAGAAACCCTAAACAGGGTCATTATGGATCAGAACCAACTTGACAGCACTTAACAACAATACTCATTGGTCCAGTTTTAGTGATTTTTTTTTCCTGTATGTTGAGATGTAATACATACTGAACTTTGTAGTTTTTGATCTCCATCGGTATTTCAAGTTCTTTTCCCTTCCAGTAAGCAAGGTTGTGTCATCTGCATGTTACAAGTTGTTAATGAGTCTTGCACTAATCCTCATGCTGCATTCTTCTTCACATAATCCAGTTTCTTAGATTTTTCTGTATACATATTGAACAAATATGATGAAAGAATACAACCCTCATGCAAACCTTTCCTGATTTTAAAACACTCGAGGAGCAATGATAGCACTGTAAGATAAGCACATAAGCAGTGGACTGCTAGCCACAAGGTCAGGAGTTCAAACCCAACAACTGCTGTGCTGGAGAAAGATGAGGTATCTTCTCCCATGGATATTTTCAGCCTTGGAAACCCTGTAAAGGGCCGGTAGGAGTTGAAACTAACTTGTTGACACCTAACCACACACCAGTATCCCTTTTTCTGTTTGAGCAATTGCTCTATGTACTTGTTCCACATGAACACAATTAAGTGCTTTGGAATTCCCATTTTTCACAACACTTAACAACAATGACATATTTGCCACTAATACAAGGGGGTTTCAAAAAGTCATGGAAAAATTCATCTTTAATTCAATTTTTTCACACATTTTTGAAGGCCCCTTGGATAATATTGCCACAGGAACAGCACTCATTTAGCTTTGTATATTCAGGCATATTTGACAAAATACAAAAATACATTCTTATTGTAAAAATATACTTTGGCCTGATGAAGTCTAAAACTGTTATGCATCATTGAATCTTATACTCAAAAGGTAATTCTCTATTAAATGAAAGCTGTAGTTTCCTTATGATAAAACTTTCAATAAATAAGTGTACAGAACTTGACACAAATAATAAATGGATAGTCAACACTATGAACATATAACATAAAATATCCATATAACATAGACTCATCTATATCCAATGAACATAAAACATTCAAATGATGTGATCAGCACCATTCTAATCCTTGCATTTTAATATGGACATCTTTACAATAAACTGCTATGCTGGTGAGCCTACCCTTGTTTCATAGTTGACAAAGGATTTTCAGGAAAACTGTATAGCTTTATTGAAGAATAACGGAAATAGTGTTATTTAAACAGCAAAACCTACTCAGGGTGTATTTTAAAATTCTACTGTCTCCATTTTAATAAAAGAGGCATCTAGATTCCTTCATGGAACATTATGGTTTAACAAAAACATGTTTTCATATTCAGTGACTTTATCATAGCTTCGTTGTTATTAGGTGTCATGGAGTTGGTTCCCAAACATAGACACCTATAAATGAAACACTGCTTGATCCTGTGCTATCCTCTTAATTGTTCCTGTTTGAGCCCACTATTACAACAGTGACAATCCAATTCACTGAGGCCCTTTCTCTTTTTTGTTCTTAATTGCCATCAAGTCAGTTCTGACTCACAGCGACCTTCTTAGGGTTTCCAAGGAGTGACTGTTGCATTTGAACCGCCAACCTTTCAGTTCAAACAGACCTTGAAGTTCAGTGACTATCTTACAGTGCTACATTAGGACTCCACTGAATCCTTCAGTATTATAACTTGAGGCTTGAATTTTTTCTTCAATTCTTTCAGCTTGAGAAATGCTGACCATGTTCTTCCCTTTTGATTTTCTAACTCCTGTTCATCTAGAGCTTTGAAATCTTCTGTT